TAAATCAGTCATTATGACAACGACAAATTGTCTTAGCATTGGAAAAGTGAAGACATTGCCATTACCCGCTTAAGCACTGAATTGCTTAAAATTCAAATCGTGTAAAGCAAGTGCCGCATTAGAAGAGGAAGGCACTTAAAGTCGGTTATCGCAGACAATTAACTTCAACACTCAGCCAAAGATAAGCGAATAGACAATTGCGGACGATCCACTCGAAATTGTGGAAAAATTGCAATTAAAGAAAAAATTAAATATTAAAATGAAATAAAATTTAAATTAAAAATGTTGGACTTCCGCGCAAATTGTCTATACAAATAAGGAAATATATAAGAAGTACATATAATGAAAATGGAATGTTTGATAATGAATGGAAAATTATAAACTTAAATGCATTAAACATTGTTATTACGTGTATCTGTAAGTAAATTAACTTCTTAAAAAGTCTTTAAGAAATTTATTTTATCCAACTCAGTTTGAAAACCTCAACTGCTATGGAGAGTCCACAGAAAAATAAACAATGATTTTTGGCTTTAAGTTCGGAGTAACATAATTTATTTATATACTTTTTTTTATTCATGTCACATAATTATTATTGTATTTGTTTTTTTTTTGCTAATTCTTGAGTATTTTTTTTTTATTCATAACTCTTAACTTATTAATAATAACATTTTTTAATCATTTCCGTTTAATATAGTCATATTTGTTTACAGATTAAGTAACAATCTTGGACATTAAAATTAGTTTTTTAGAGATTCGAAGTTAAAATTTATTATATTAAAATTATTTGAATAAATCTTAATAATTTTCTACAAATTAAAAATTTTTTTTTATTTTAATAAATTGCACAATTTTCAATGATATATATCTGTTATCTGAATAGATTAGTTTTCTCATAACTCGAAATATTTGAAGAGTTTAGGTTTTTACACATTAAAAGATAAATTTTTACACATTAAAAGATAAATTTTATGTTTGAATTTTTAAAAATTTAGTTTTATTAATAACAATCCTACGGTAATATGTAAACATTAAAATTTTTATTTGAGAAACCTCTTAAACATAATTTTTTTTATTTCCAAAAAACAAAGTAATAAAATAAATAAACATATAGTAAATAAACTAGAAAAAAAAATCCAATAAAAATTAATTAAAATAAAATTACAGACCGGATTTATAGTTAAGTTATAAGCGTCCGTAAGAATCCAGACCTTTTGGCTAATAAAAATTATAAAAAAAATAATTAAAATTATAGAAAGGAATTATAGTTAGGTTATCAGTGAGTATAGACTTATTGACCAATTTTGCTTAAGAATTTTATTTAAAAAATTATAGTTAGGTGACAACCGTAAGAACCCATTTAGACATATTGCTAATAAAAATTTAAAAAAAAAATAATTAAAATTATAGAAAGAAATTATAGTTAGGGTATCAGTGATCATAGACCTATTTTGCTTAGGAATATTATTTCAAAAAGCTTGCATACATATACATGCATACGCACGTAGCTTCACGAGTAGAGGGGCTGAAGTCCACTTCTTCACAGAAATGCATAACGAGGATTATATTTTTATATATCCTTTATTAATCCGTTTGGGTTCACATGCAGCTCAGCATTATAAGTAACTTAACATTGTAGTAACTATAAAACTATAGTTCAGAGTGGAAACTCAGACCCAAAATGCTAAAAACAGCTCACACACGGCATTGACTTGTCACACATGGCAAGGTACTCGACGAAGTGTTATTTCAAAAATATCTTATCTTACCTAATTGAATTATTAATTACAATGAACAGTATTTAATAAGCAATTTGAGTGTCAGATCTAGAGACCAGAAATAATAATTATTTCAAAAATGTTCTAGAAAAAAAAGCAGCAACAAAAAGTTATTTAAATTCTTATTTAAGTATAGTTACTATTCTAACAAGTTCCAAGTAAATTAAAATAATATTAAATTAATTTAATAATAATGAAATTTACTTTGTGTTTGTATTTTTCAAAAATAATTATTATTATTTGCCTTTTACCTTTACACGTACAAATAACTCATACACTTGGCTTTTTATTTGAAAAGGTACAAATAATTATTATTTTTGCCTTAAAAATATAAAAAACAAAAATAACTGTTATTTTTTTTTATTACCTGTTATTTTTGATTTTTATTTTTTTAATTTGGAGGAAAAAATATGAAATAAAGTAAATTTTACTACTATTTTTTAGGCAGGTTGCAAGAACGGTCGGGTCTACGTCCCGGAGCCACTTGTCACCTACGACGATGAAGTACCGTTGCACATCTTCCAAAGGGATTCCACAAGCAGGTCCCGGTGGGTTACAACAACAATAACAACTATTTTTTAGGTTTTATTTTAAAAGGCAAAAATTTTGAGAGTTATTTTTTGTTTTTTCTCTTTCTGTAATAATAATTGTTACGGTCCCTGGTCAGACTTTATGGAATTATTATAAATTAATATATAGAAAAAGAAATTTTATAAATTTGAAGAAATGATTACAAAAAATATTTCAACGGTAAAATAATAGATATTTTTTTAATATAATCAGATTCTAAACAATAAAAGGTGTCTTCGTAGAGTTTAACTTTTTAGCATTATAATATTTGTAATGGTTCACAATTACCTATATTTAAAACAATATTTCATTAACATATTATTTAGGATATTACTATTTTTACTATTAAAGACAAATTATTATTTAAAACCAAAAATAAATTATTTTACTTTTCGCTGAAAAAATTTTAAACCGTACAATAAATATTTCGTTTCAGATAAATCAGATTCTTTAACACTTAAAAAAATAAATTTTATTAAAAATTAAAACATAATTTTAGAAAAATAAAATCAGATTCTTTAACAAATAAAAATGTGAAACAAAATTTGTACAAATAAAATATGTTAATAAAAAAAAATAGAAAAAAAATAGAAAAAAATAGAAAAAAAATAGAAAAAAATAGAATTTTATTAAAAATAAACAGTTTTTTAAAAAAAAATATTATAACTTTATTTAAAAAAAAAATAGTATTTTTTTTTAAAAATATTGTTAACAATTTTAGCAAATTAATTTTTTACTTCATTGATATTTTAAAGTAAATTTGTTAATACAGTAATAAATTAATTTTGATACTTATTATTTATCTCAGACAGTAATTAGTAATAAATTTTAAACTGTACATACAGAATTATTAGATTCATAGATATTTTAAAAATATATATTTTTTTTAAAGAGAAAACAATTTGTTTTCTCCACAGGAATGCAATAGCGGCTTTTGTCTTGAACATATTTTCAAAAATTGAGATAGATTTTTATTATTTACTTATATTACATCCATTATATTTAGCTGCTAATGTTAATATTCTATTATATTTAGCTGTTATTTTATCAATTTAATTATACAATTTTCTGTATATATATTATTTTCTGTATATATTTTACTAATATGTTGACTAGTTTCATTTTATATTAGTTACTTATGTTTTAAAAATATAATCTGTATATGTATAAGATATTTTATTATTTATATAATATGCAAATACATTTACATATATGACACTACAGGCAGAGATATCTTTAAAAATCCAAAAACCCATTAAAAACAAAAAATTAACACTTGTGATATTGTATATCATATTATAAAGAGTAATAGTATAATTTAAAAAGTATATGAGAGTGATATTCACGATGTCGAGTAACGAGCTCATTAACCAAATAATATGCATTTCACATAGCGGTAATTAATGTTCATTAACTATTTAACTTTCTTAAAACCTTCTTAAGTATGAAAGCTCTTACACTCTTACGTTTTCAGACAAAACTATTTGTTTTTCTCTTTTATCCTCACTCACATCATAGTAATATTATTTTAGATATGTGTCTGTTTCTCGTTATTCGCATGTTTTATTCAAATTACTGATTGCAGCAACTGTGAGTGTAAAAATGCAGTGTGAACGCCCATTTAAGTCAGCTAGCGTAAATAGCTTTTCGTTGTTCGTGCGTAGAGCATGTAATACAACAACAGTTTCGCACATTTCGTGTAAAGGTATTTTGTTATCGTTGCTTCGCATTGTTTTGAACTTACTCAATTAGTGAGTTCATTACTCGAAATCGTGTATAACCCTATGGTATATTTTTAGATAACAATTATTGACTAAAAATCAACAATAATTTATTTCTGTCTAATTTGCAAATATTTTGTTCTTTTATATTGTTTATTTTTTAATTTTAATAAGAATTTAATTTAATAATATTTCCAATGTTACAGTTATATTGTTTTAGTTTAATTAATCTAAGTATTTTTACTATGTATATTTTGAGCTGGAAAAATTAAATGAAAAAATAAGTTTTCCAGAAAAACTACAATTTCTTTAACAAAGTCATATATAAGCATATAATTATCATATTCTCATTATAAATACCATGTTAATAGTTAGACTAGATATAACTTAACCTTTAGTACAAATTCTTTACGCACACAAAAGCTTTCTTCCATAGGTCAACTGATTCCTGGTAAATGAGAATTATGTTCTTTTATTTGATATTTGCAATCGAAATCAATAAAGAAACTTTATTTTTTATTGAAGAAAGATATCAACAATAGAGCACTCTATTTTACAAAACCTATACTGAAAACTCGTATTGCTTAAGTTGTTGAAAAATTGGCTCAGTTTCAGAAACAGGGAATCTAAGATTTTACAACTCAAATTTTTGTAGTGCTTTCCAAATCTATATGATTGTTGGAAATCTAAATAAATCGGCTTAGATACATGAATAAGTTTAGACTAAGTTTTTAGATATAAAATCAATTTACAATTGTATATACTCTACGAACATGTCATAATAATAATAATATAAATCGCATAATTTTTAAATATATAGGATATTACCAACTTATATATGTAATTTTGTTCTAGAATTTGTAGTTTAATTAAAAATAAAGAAATCCCTAATGGTTTAGTTTAACATTGATATTTACAGATTTATTATTTTGGTGATGTTGCCAAACCCTCATAAAAGTAACATCCATTTAATAGTATGTATAAATTATTATTTTTTATAATTTATAATATTAATTTGTCTAATGATAAATTTTTATACTGTTAAGATATTTCTTTACGCTGATATCATTTTAAACATTTTCAACTATTTTTGAACTACCATTTGTCTTTATTATCATTATTTTATTAAATGTTGATATAATTTGCACATACATATATTTTGCCATAATATAAGCATACATTATTTTGCAACTTCTATTGTTTATTTTGAATTATGTTAGTAATTTATATTATGCAAATAATTTATAAATTTTAATCTGTGTTACTTATTATACACATATTTTAATTAACTACTCAGTCATATCGATCTAGTTTATCCTGCATTAAGCAAACATTGCAAACTGTCTTAAACCCATATAAAATATATATAAAAAAAATATCTACAATTATACTTATATAAATAAACAAAAATAACATTTTTTGCTATGCATTTTGGCAACATAGTTTTGTTCTATAAAAATAATTTAACGTGTTACGTTTAGCTTTTTGACGATATGACGTACTTTTTGTAATATATTTGGAGATTCAAAATTTTGAGTAAATAAAACAAAAAAATAAAATATTGCACTGTGTCTTGCACTACGAGATTAATTGTTATCACGATAAAATAAGATATATTCAAAAATATATTCCTTAAATGTTGTAAAAATGTAGCGTATACATTGAGATTCTAAATTTTAGATAACACTATCATTTTTTCAAGAATTAACATATTTTTCTTAATTACATTTGATAAAATAGTAGAAATAAAATAAAATTATAGCAATGAAATTGCAAAAGATAAAATCCACTTGGAGTATTTGTTGAGGGATTACAATTTGGGAATTTACTCTATTATTATTTAAATTATATTCTTAACAAGTAGCTTTTTTCTTATTAGCTCGTAATTATTTACTTACGCACTTGTTGATTATGTTGATGATGATGATGATGATGTTCTTCATCATCGCTAGGTTCCTCTTTTAAGGGCAAGGAATCGATTTGTTTTGCGGTGGTTACTTTCTTGTTTCGTTGCCATGTAAATACGCGTGCCATTTGAAGAAATTTCTTTCGTGATACTTTTCCCATATGCTTAAGTCGTTCCTTGAAAGCAGCATCATCTTCTGTTTTTGCCTTGCCGCTCTGTTCTTTTTCCAGTGCATTCATAAATTCCTGATTCCAACGTAACTGATTCATAAATTCTTCATTTTGCAACATCATGGCAAATTGTTCATCTGGTAAATCAAAATCTCTACCAGCATCATGTGTAACGGAAGGTGCTATGCGTAGAAAACCAGCTGGGAGTGGACCTAATATGGGCGGATTCCAGCGCCGACCAACATTAGTGTGTGTTGTGGGTGCAGCTGTACCTGATAATATGTTCTTTTGTAAATTATTTTGTTGGGGACGTTGTTTAGGCGAAGCACCGGTATTGTGATGAGGTGATGAGTTTGGACCACTATTGCTCAAGTTTAATAGCACAGCATTAGCTGCAGCAGCTGGAGTGTTAATCGGATTATGAGCAGCAAAATTGTTACCATCAGTTGTGTCAATGAGTTGAGCTGTAGCGGGTTGTGTAATATTTAATCTATTGCGCTGTTTTTCATAATCTGTATCAATTAAATTTATAAGACTCTGTTGTGGTGCAATGCTGCCATCCAATTCGTTGCGTAGTTTTTCGTTCTGCTTATTAATACGAATAAAATTACTGTATAATATATTTAACAACAAATTAATACTTACTTGGGTATCAGTTGACATGGCAAGCAACTGGTCGATTGTAGCATCAACTGCACCTTGATTTGCTCTTAACACAGCCTCAATAACTTCATGGTCCATGTCAGGGAACATGGTCTTGAAGTCTGTCATCGCCTGCGCAAATTCCAGTTGCATAGTAGCCATGTTTATATGTGCGCGTAAGTCAGCAGTTGTTCTAATAATGCAAGGTAATCACTACGTCTCATAAGTTTTCTTTTGTTTCTTTATTTTATTTGTGCACAATTACTTTGAAAATTGATTGATTACATTTTGCGTTTGTTATGTTGCTGCACTTAATGTATTTGCAAAAAGTTTTTGCGTTTTTAGTGTAGCCAAAACATTTTTTCTCCAACAGTTCTATTCTAAAATTATAATTATTTTATTTTCTTTCAGATGTTACTTCTCTGCAGAGCGCACAACTTTCTTATATGGATATTTACAAGACATCCACATAAACGTCAAAAACACTTCTATAGGTTTTTAATACAGTAGTACCAAAGTTCGTTTATAAGGGGTTTTAAATTATATATAAAAATATTACAATAAAACAAAATAAATAAATTGTATTTTGAAATGAAATAAAATAATGCATGGTTTTATATTAAAGTGACATGATTAATATGAAAATGTTGATATCATAATACAATTTTATTGAATTTATGTTGCATCTAGTACATCAGAGAAGCCGCTGTACACAATGACAGTTGGATAAAAATTATTTAAAAATAAAATTCACAAAATATTAATTTAAAATAATTTATAATGTATTATTTACATATATATAATAAAAACATATATATAATAAAAACGTGAAATTGAAATGAAAGACTTCAAAATAATATATGTTTATATCTTAGTAGAAATTTGTTAGTTTCACTCAGGTTAGAATTAATTGGTTAAATGGTTAATTAATAAAAACTAACGATTTTTGACTTGAACTGATAAAAAATATTATGTCAGTTCACAAAAATTAAAATTCTCAGCATTTTAATAAAATAAAAATGAAACAAGAAGAAATATAAAAGAAATGAAAATTTATTGTTTTAATGACAAACATTTTTAATAATAATTTTGTTAATTAATTGTTTAATAATAAACTTTTTTAAAAATTAGTTTATAAAAATTTTATACCAATATTTCGACTATATCTTATAGTCATCCTCACGTTAATATTAAGATGTTTTTATAATGTAGCAATAATTATTTAAATAATTCATTAATTATTGCTACATTACATTTATTTACATAATTTCTTAATTATTGATATATTATAAAAATATCATAATAGTACCATTAATATGATTATAGAATATAGTCGAAATTATGATGTTAATAAAAAATTTTTACTTATGCACTTATATCTTGGGCGACTTGAGAGACTGCAGACTCCGGTGTCAATATGCCTATTGCAATAGTTTTTGTTGCAGTTACAAATATAAAGCAGATCAACCAGAATTTCCAAATTAAGTTTAGATATGATATTTATAATATATGATATTATGATATTTAAGATACAACCTTTGATATGTATTTCTAGAACATCCAGTTTTAAAAACTAAAGTCAGCTATCCATCTTTATTAACTACATGCATTTATTTTTCACAAAGCTTGCGTTTGTAGCTTCTACGAGCAATTAGGATAAAATTGCTTAACATCAATATGTCACGCATAGACCCCTGGTTCCTTGGGATTATCAGTTGGAGCCACAGTGTCATCAGACAAGTAGAGAAGTGAGTTCTAATAATATTATGATCAAATTGTGGATGAGTTTAGTAATTGCAAAATGGGTCCGGTTATATCTTCATTATTATAAGATTTTGCTGAGTATCTATCTGGTTAAGTTTAGTACTAGCATCCACTTCGCACATAAAATTAATGGAATTTTACCATTTAAAAAAATTTTTACACAACATCAAAATATTCTAGAACATGTAATTAATATGGTGTTGTATTTACGTGTGAAATTGATTTCAGTGAATTTTTATTTTTTTAGTTTCAGATTGTTCAGACCGTTATGTACATATTTAATGGATATGTGTCAACAATTTTAGTTTTTTACACGACTTTTTGTTCAGGAACCCAAAAATACAGCGCTTTCTTTCGATCTCAAGTGATTCAATGGTTTACTTATATATGAGCTGCTGCGTTTCTGACCGCCTGGTAGTCGATATAGATGTTCATAGATGTTATTCGTAATATTTAAAGATGAACTGCAGTCTGCAGGGCGTATTGATAAACTTATATATAGAGTTATTATAATATTTCAAATGTATTTCAAAAACACATTGAATTTAGACCCTCTCAAATGAATTCGCAAAATAAAATTACTATCGTATTAATAATTGTATTAAACTAAACATTGATATTGTATTTACAATTAAAATATTTTTATTTATTTTCAATGCACTTAATTAAAAAAACCCATAAAATTAAGAAAAAAACATTTTAGGTTATCAACTATTGAATTTTACTTGATCTAAATATTTTGAACATATTTTGCTTTTAAACATAATATATATATTGTTTAACTTTTTTTTTTTGCATTATTATGAACTAAACTGTTATCAATGTTATTTACCCATAAAAAGAAATAAAACTAAATTTTTGGGGGCTTGCCATCTTAAATGATAAGGTTTAATTGAATTTCATATTCTATAAGGAAACACACAAATACAGAATTCTTAGTAATTACTTTAGTATTGATATATATAAAATCTATAGTATGAGTATATGATAGGAAAATATAAATTCTTAATCTATAATAAATGTTTAATTTATTGATTGAATATCTAAAAATTTATAATTTTTGGCAGTACGAGTACAGTTTCATATCATTAGTTATAAATATAATATATACTATATAGATTATTTGTTATTACTATTATTATATCTACGTTTCATCACGTATTTTGGTATCTTATATTGTTTGCTTCGACTTTAAGATTTATTTCATATATTAATTTTATAAAATTAAGTTTGTTATATATATTAATTTGTAGATTCAATATATTACATATGATTCTTATATATATTTTTGCGGTTATTCTGTTTTTTTTAAATGCTATATTGAAAATGTTGTTGTTTAATTAAATTTCATTAATCTTTATTTGAATATTTTACTTTAATTTCTAAATTATAAACAATAGATCTTCAGCGAGAAATCTACTTTAAAATTTATTTGACTTTTGTTTGTTAATTTTATTTATTAAATATTCCTAGACACTCACTTTTAAGCGCAAGCATTCACTCTATTTAAAATATATTTGTTTCTTTGATAGTCACAAACATAAAGCAAAACAAAGGTATTACTGGATTCGCACGACAATTTTGTTTTTAATTTTAGCTGTCGTGTTTGTAATTTTAGCTGTCATATGTTGCTACCTTCAATGCAAAATAAGAATTCCAGCCAGCTAAAATTATAAATAAACTTAGTGTGAATGCAGTATTAACCATTAAAACATTTCCTTATTAGCGGCCTTAGCTTATTAAGGCTGCTAATGAGAGTAATTTACCATACAAATAGGTTCCACATAAACGAACTCATTATAAATAAATCAAGTGATTAAAGGCGAAAAATGTCTACTGCAATCCCTAAAAATAAATTTCTCACAAGAGAAGTTACCAAACTTTTAAATATTTGTTATATGTAAAATGCAACAAACAAACTATTTGACATACATTAAATCAGTTTGTTATAATTGAAACGATGAAATCTTAATTTTATTAATATAAATAGTTTTATAGCTGCAGTGGAAGCATAATATAATACAAAAACTAATATACACGTTGAAAGATTCAAGCATTTTCAGACACTTACATCTACATCAGAAACTACTTAATATAGTCGCTTAAAGCTTCAAGCATTCACTCAATTGTTATTTGTTATTTACATCTCATTTACTTAGTTAACATTTGTTTGCCTAGTTTAGATATGTTTAAGAATTACTCACTATTCGGTTCACATATCCATATCTATATTTGGTAATGATTTTATAAAAAATATACATAGAAAAACAATCCACTAAAAAGGTAAGAATAGATAATTCCATGTAGATATAATTCCATATCTCTATAGACATATAGATGAATCACAAATTGTTCTTGCATATTCGACTATTTTCTTCGTTTAGTAAATGTTTGATAATCACTCACTATTCGGTTCACGTGTTTAAGCAAGCCATATTTGATGAAGATCTTAATAAAAATATAAATAGAAATATAATTAACAAAAAAGGTATATATATATAAGAACAGATAATTCCAAATAGATAGACATATAGCTAAATTCCAAATCCACTACAAAGGATAGGACCAGAATATTGTTTACCTACTTGTCTTGAAAACGAATAGAAAGTCATATTTACATATAAATGCAAGTAAAAGCATAAGGATTTAGCCAGGAATCGTTTCTCTATAAAACCGACACATTAAAGCAGTACTTGCCAATATTTCACAGAGCTAACACATATAAAAATAACATTATAACTAACACTTCGAGAGGAATCTCATGATTTTATTTTGTATTTACTGAATTCTAGTTATATTTAGTGTTAGAATAATACTTAGTCATATTATAACAACAAAACTGTTAGTTCTGTTTGAAAGATTATTTATCAATTCATCATTATTATAATATGAGTATATAAAAATTCTCTTCGAAATAGACATTCAAGATCAAAGTTCAGAAATGTGCAGACTTTAACGTGATGAAATGATTTAACAAATGCAAGTCACTATTAAATCCGTTTTCAACGTAGAAATCAAGTGTTGGCCTTCTAATGATACTCGTAGCTTACTTCCACAAGTATATAGTAAGTGATGTCACTTACTTTTTTAGAAATCGAATCTAATAAAAAAGTGCGCGAGTACTTGATTCATTATGTTGTCACTTCATAAATTATAGAAAGGCAATAATGAGGCAATAATGATACGAAATGAGACTAATACTATCAATTGTCTCTTGTTGGATTCTCATAAGCTCAATATATCTCTATCTCTATCCAATTAGAAATAAAGGTTGAAAAAGGATAATCAATGGAATTATCTTGAGTCCAAATATAATCAGGGATAGTATGGTGTCATAAATGGTGGCTCTTCATGCAGTGAAAATATAGAGAATCATAAAGATTCTAAAGATTCCTAAAGAATCAAAAAGACGGGGAGTAATGACCACAATGGCTTCTATTGAATTCAACTAAATTGAATTTTAGATCAATCCAATAACTGTTTGATTATGGACTTAAAGATTTATTTTTTTGTCTGTGTTACAATTACTTCACAATTGGCTGAAATGTGGATTAAAATGTGATATGTAAAGTGTATAAGTACCGTTGTGGGTTATTCTTAGTTTAAGCACTCTACTTCTTTTTTGACCTTGCCAGAGCTGGTCCTAAGTGAGTGTAATTATTTCATAAAAATCTGATATTACTTTTACTTATTTGGAAATTTAACTGCAAATATATTATAGGTATGTTTTAATTTTTTATATT